AAAATATTCAATCTATGTCTATTTTTATCATACTTTCACTCTTGAATTATTGGTTAAGAATAGTTTTTATAATTTTGATTTTAGGCACTATAATTTGAAATATTTCTCATTAATTAATTATGATGTCATTTGTAATTATTTTAATCCTGCCAAAAAGATTGTTCGGGAAAAATACTGATAGATTTACAATTTGCCCATAATTTTTTTCTTCAGTTCATCATTTTGTAGTTTCAATTAATTTATGTTTATCATCATCAACATAATCTTTTTTCCAATCATCGACTGACTTTGTTAACCCAATAGTTTGGACTAAGTATTCTAAATCTTTTTTTTTGAATTTTTATAATATATTAGTAATTTCTTTAGGTGGTAGAAACTGTAATCCAATATAATAATCAAGCCAGTCATTTACTCTAAATAATTAAAACAAAGGAATGTGCTGTTTCGTAATCCCTTACTTACACGGTGTCCCAATACAACAATTCTAATTATGAATATTCATTATACGACTTAATTTATAAAACGATGTTTTAAATCTTTTAATTAGTCAAACTTTGTTTAATTTATCTTAATTTATTAATCTAATATATGATTTTCATGTATTTAATGAATAGATTACGTTGGATATAACTTCTCATGGTGTTTTGATCAAAAGTATTCATATCAAATTTTACGTTTAAAAAAAATGCAATTTTAATGTTGAGTTTGGATTCAATAATCACTTATATGAGTAAAATTTAGACTGTCAACTAAGTCACCATTCGTATGTTTCAAGATATATTGTTTCATGACAAGCTTAACACAGCAATTTACATCTAAAATCTGATACCTTTCACGTACATCAGTGATAAACGAATCAAATACTTATTATTTATGCCGAAAACAATGAATTTAGATATATATAATTTGAGATCTGCAGTAGTTTTTATTAGTCAGTGAATTCTAGGAGATATAATTTTAGTTCTCCTTCTACTCTGTTTACTTAAATGTTAACTATTGTTGTAGTATTAAAGAATATAGATTTAGGTACCCTTATAATGTGGAGGATAAAGACACTAAAAAACTATTATTTCTTACCTCAACCCCTTTGCATTTTCTATTGGGAAAATTACCTTATTCTTTAAATATCGTTAATAATTCCTCCTTCTAACAACGTAGTGGTTTCTTTGTTGTTATTTAGTCCTCTTATTCGATTGACATAGAGCTTCAAGATCAGTTTCGTACTGAGGGAAGGAATAAACTAATGTCAAGACATGCAAATAATTTAAAGTAAATACATAAATTTCGGAACGATTTATTGAGCAGTTTCTAATCTCGCTTTTACATCATCATTGATCAGGCCAATGGCAAAATAACTGGTGTAATTCTCGCAACGGTCTTCTTGATAATTAGATTAAGCAGTGAAATATTAAAGTCTAATCAAATAAAAGAATGAGAATCCTTACCTTCACTTCGACCTTATATTGTATGTTACAAAATAACTTGCCGATCTAGTGTACATAGAAATGTCTTATTTGTTTAATTTTTATCTGTTAACAACTAGACCAGATGCAACCACCTATTAATAAATGTCAACATAAACATAATGAAAGATATGCCCTAAGTACTTATGCAGTTAAACCTCCAAGTATAATAATTAAAGGACTTCTCGAAAAAGAAGCCGGACCGGTTATTGTTGCGAACGCCATAGGGGATAATCACTCATTGTAATAATTTTAATAGTTTAAAACATGAGTCGATCTAAGCTAGGACACCGTTGAAGTCCGGAAGCACTAGATAGCTGTTTCGTCCCAGTATGGGACTCAGCATTGCGCATCCACCTCAGTCAGTGGATATAAGGTTGTGCAAGATCATGGAACGACTGAAGTTAGGGATTAAAACTGTTGGATGCCGGCCTAGTAGAAGTTCCAGGGCCCGAGTCCCGCGTGGGGAATATTGGATGAGTAATTTTGAGGAGTCCCATACTAGGACGGAACGGCCGTCTAGTGCTTCCAGGTTTTCAAAGGTGCTTTAGCTTGGACTGACTCATGAGTTCAACTATTAAGATATTCACTCATCAAGTAGTAATCGGATTCTTGCAATTTTATTGTATAATATAGTATTCAAACAGCACTCTCGAATTCAGAAGCTTAAAAGTTCTATGAGATTTCTAATTCTGTTCAAGGGATTTGGACAGTAGAAACATTGGGACCATCGATCCCAGTTTCGAGATTTTAGAAAAATCGTATGCTCAGTCTGTTTTTCCAATCAACAGTAGGATTCCCTAGTGAATGACAAGGATTTTAAAAATAATATTTCTCTACGCTACTGAAATAAGTAGACATTTGTCTGGAGGCCTTTTATCAATGACTTTTGGAAATATTTGGATATAATAGTAAGACGGTGATATCAACTTCATCGCGGTTTGTACTGAATTAATATTGTAAGTTAACCGCGATGACATGATATTATAACCGTCGTTGATTGTAAGTCGACAAAACAACCAATGGGTTGGGCTATCATTATATTCTTATAAACCGTTTTTATTTTGAAGTCGCAGTTATACGGTTGAAACGAAACACTGTCAAAAATTTGATTTGGGATTACACTGAATTGATTTAAGTACATAGTGAATTAAACAAAGTAGTATACTCTCACTAAGTATACTGCGTTAAGTAAGGGAATTTGAACACAGAAGTCTTAGGTGTTTATTCATTTCATAAAATTCCGGTACTTGCATCGGAACTCCTTGTCTATCACAATCGTCTGAAATCTAATATTACGATTTAATCGTAGTACTGACTCCAATACCCTTAATCTTATCAGAAAGCATGTATAAGACGTTTTGGACGTAATTATAAGGTTAATCAAGATTTACGTTTCGAATGTTGAGGAACTCTTACCAACCGAACTATGGCATTTCTTGATTACCTAAGATACTTCAACCTAACTTACTACAACAACAAAAAAAACTTCGTGAAAATTCCTATAATTCCTAAAATTACGGTCAGATAGTATTGATTAGATTTTTCCTAGTATTTGCCTCAGCCATCATTAAAAGTTAAGGTAGAAAACTGTTCCACTGATCTGTTCTTAATCAATAAGTAATTTTGACTACGAGGAAAAACAGTACATTTGGTATACATGTTTAGGGAATTAAAATGATCATCACTCTCAGAACTATAGAATCGATAGTTGTGAGTTAATGACCTTTCTTGGAGAAAAAAGAGCTAGTGGTAACAAATAAATTTCAGTATCGATTGAGTAGAACATTTTTGTCTATATTCTGAAACATACAAACAAATGCTTTTAAGCTGAAAACCCCGATTAGTTCCAGGTCAAAATAACTAATTCCAATAGCTACCAGTAAGGTGCTGAACACTTAAATTACATTTAATTAGAAATGTAAATTTTCTATCTGATTTGTCAAGCACTTTGTTGACTTGAAACGTATAAGAAAAAAAAGAATATTAGAGCGAACGATCGTTTTCGATAACTTCTTTATCAGGCTCAATAGTTACAAGTCAAAATTTATCACTATTGTTAGTGTCACAATGAACAAGAAATTAAAGTTACGCATATATCCTTGTGATATAATGAAAATGGTAAAATTTCACCTCGATTCAGCATTACAAATTAAAATTTACATACGAAATCAACCTATTTGTTGAAAATGCTGATAGTTAACTCTACTAAATGCCTTGTCTAAAATCTTGATAAACGGAAAGCTAAGTGTAAAATAATACTACAGAACTACTATTTATTTAAATATTAAAAACACAATTGTCTGAACGAAGAATATTCTTTTCAATAATTTCTCATCAGGTTCTACAATTATAAATCCAGATTAATAATCCATAAAATTGGCCAGATTTAAGGCAGAGAGTACATCATTTGGAAATTGTAATATGTGAATCAGGAATTGTTTGTTATATAAAATAAAATTGTTAATGTTGGGGCTGACTAATATGAATCAGTTTATAAGCGAAATGAAATTGTGAGATAAATCATTATCAGAATGAATATGGTCAACATGGGGTAAGCGAGAGAGAGAGAAAATTGTGATTACAAATCGGAAATTGCGTAATATGTAAAATAATTAGGTCAATTATAGTAGATTCAGGGGTGGATATTGAATAAATTCATCAAAAAGGGGTTATCAAGTGTAAAGACAATAATAATCATAACAGTAATAATAATAACAGTAGACTGTTGTTGACACGGTAAACTATTGCAAAAGATTGCTCGATGTTGGCTGTATGTCCTGTTTGGACTAAATGGTCTAAGATGGAGCTGTTAACAGTTTTGACAACACCTTTGCTTAACCACACGGGTAGGTGCTCACGAGCCCGAATGTACAAATTCCTAGAACATCTGCCAATATAACAAAGCCAGAGCTTTGTATCCAAAAGAAGTATGTTCAGCCACTCCTTTTACCCTGGCCAACTAGCTAATAATCAATCTTAAAATATGGTGACGTAATCTGATTAGTGTTCATTTTATGTCCCAAACTTATTATTATTACTGTTATGATTATTATTGTCTTTACACTTGATAACCCCTTTTTGATGAATTTATTCAATATCCACCCCTGAATCTACTATATTTGACCTAATTATTTTACATATTACGCAATTTCCGATTTGTAATCACAATTTTCTCTCTCTCTCGCTTACCCCATGTTGACCATATTCATTCTGATAATGATTTATCTCACAATTTCATTTCGCTTATAAACTGATTCATATTAGTCAGCCCCAACATTAACAATTTTATTTTATATAACAAACAATTCCTGATTCACATATTACAATTTCCAAATGATGTACTCTCTGCCTTAAATCTGGCCAATTTTATGGATTATTAATCTGGATTTATAATTGTAGAACCTGATGAGAAATTATTTAAATATTGTCAAATAACAAGTGGCAAACTAAGTATTGTAAATTCTGATATCAGACGAAATGAATACTGTTGCAAAATCCCTAACATTTAATGTAACGAGTCAGGCTCAAAGAATTAACGACAAATAAAACAATTTATAAGGCTGTAAATAGATAAACGAAATATGATGAGGCCAATAATTGTCTACCATAACACATGAGTCAGTTCTAATACCGAAAATTATAAACTATGAAACTAAAATGCAAACCACTCCCCAAAATAAGAAATACACTGTCAACAAAGAACAGACGTTAAATCATGCTCCTATTTTACACTATCTTTATGATGAACTTATGAGTGTAGTAAAACAGTCTAATGTAGAAACTTCCCAGCAGATAACATCAAATAATACCAAGATATCCATGTGAAAACAATGTAATTGCACTTTGTAACTAAGTTACAATTTATAAATTAAAGTGAAAATGAAGATAAAATGAAGCAAATCACTACATACAATTTAAGTAAAAAAACAACTCAATGGATATTGTTGTGATTAAATTAAGTAGTGTATAGTTATGAAAATCTTTTTTATTGCAGTGCTAAAGCCATACAAGTACGACTTGGCAGATACAAAAAAACACAATTTCGACGATTATCCCACGGTTCGTTGCGGGTGAATACATCAACAGATTGATCGATTCGTTTAAAGCCACCAAATTCCTCTTGGTCGGAATCCAAAACAATATGGTACCTTGAATGCATGAATGAAAACACAATTTTCTAAAATAATACCAGCGCACAGGCAAAATCATTGGATTGAAAATACACTATTATCCATCAACCATAGTATAAATATAGCGAGATCCTGAATACTTCATGAAAATTTGAAATGAAACTTACTGTCCAGGTGTATCGACTCCAATTTTGTAATCCGTAAAACTTTGAGTAGGATGAAAGTTAAAGGCAAACAAAACTCCAGCACGTTCAAATGCAATAACTTTATCGCCTTCATTCTTTCTACTAACATAGGCCTGATGAATAAAATAAAAACCAGGAAATAAATACGATCACTGGATAGATAAATGATGCGTAAAAATAAAATAAGAACGAACCCAGTTCAATCATCATACAGTCACATGTATTACAATGTGTGACAAACAATGCTGTTTCACTTTTAAAAACAAATAAGATAGGTTTAAACTCATAAAATTCGAGTACCCAGGCTTTTGAAGCAAACTACATATAAATCATAGAACGATAAGTTTGGTAAACGATAACCATACTTATATATTGAGATTTATATAATCTTACTTTTCACATTAAACTTAGTCAATCAGTCAGTCAAAAGCAACATGGAACGTGGCACAAGTATAAATCGGTTTCAGTTACCATACTCTATAAGTAAAGCGAAATGGTAAAAAGAGACTATTGAAACAAACATATCTTGTCCCTGTAAACAATGAATTAGGTAAAACAACTTGAAATGACTGTATTTGTCTGACTATGAACCATTTATATCAGTTACAGTAAACCGCGTGGTGATGACGAAGATGAATTCACTTTGTTTTCCTTTAAATCTTGAACTTCGAAATTATTTTGTACTTTTTATTCAGAGAATTAATCCTTTCTTTTCGAACAATATTCTCTTTGCTAAATGCTTCTTACTATCACTGATATTATTATCACTTCTATTGCTTTATCTTGGTAATTTTGTCTTACTATATTGTGGTAATCTAGCAACCTGAACTGATGGAGATATATGCCCCGCTCTATGATGCTTATGGTTAGCTGTAATAAAGAGACAGCCGGTAAACTAGGTCTACAGTTTACTTGGAAATCTTTGAAAAAAAACTTTTTATAAAATGAGATGACGATTCAACTCAGTCACAAAGTACAGGTTTATGGACAAGGTTTCGAGCCAGAATTTATGGTCAAACTTAATGTTATTCGGCTGTCTAATCTGAAGTAGATAGAACATAGTGCGAATACGTACCCAGATGGTTGGAAGTTTGGTTCTTTAACTAATGACATGGTGTTTCAGTAATTGCATGGGCGTTCACTGACGTAACTGTGAGATATATTTATCAAATGATCTATTAATATTTTATGACTTCATAGACAAACTAGTGATCCATTGGTAGGTGGAAAATTGCAATCAGAACAAAAAAGAACAAAAAATAGTGACATAAAGTTCGTTTGTTGAACAATAATAATAATAATATACCAAACATATACATTTATAACGTACCTGTGGAGCTGCAAGCCAACCATATTTCTCCTCTAAATGTTGCATAGCTCTATCAAAATTGTTTAGATATTTATAACGCAACAATGGATCATCCACCAAGTTCCACTGACGGCGAGCATAGTGGTACGAACTATTATTCCCAGCCCTTGGGAAATCCAACCATTCAGGATGACCAAATTCATTACCTATAAACCAAATCAAATTGAAGCTATATTAAAGCTGTACACCAGATATGTAATCAATGAAAATAAGAAAGTATTTTCCAAGCAAACCCTTTTATTTGAAAGTTTCAAACAGTTTGACAAGTGTCGTAAAACAGATTCCTGAATATATGGTTTGAGAAATAAACTTATCCAACCGATGATGCAAGTAAGTATATGATATACCTTACAAAGATTTTAGAAATTATATACAGCTTAGTAGAAAACATCAGTATAAAAAGTAAAAATAGTGGAGGAAAACTAACAACTGAAAGGTATAAAAAGAATTAAAACGCAAATAAGATGAACTAGGATGTCAAAAAATTCACATTGTACAGCGACATGAAGAATGTGTACCGTTTTAATTACTTACGCTCATTACCCCTCGTGGAAAAGTATAGGTCACTCACCAGCATTCTCTATCCAACTCGCATATATATTTGGTGCCCTCTTGTACCAATATTTATTTGTTTAAATAAATAAATAATTCAACTCTGTCCTGAACAATCCTTTCCAGTTCTTATTCATCACTTTCATGTCTGCTACCAATTCTTGGCGCAGTGTGTTCTTTGGCCTTCCTCTTCACCGTTTCTCTTCTGGATTCATGGCTGCCGCTTTCCTCGTGATGCAGTTTGATTACTTGCTCAATATGTGTCCTATCCACTTCCATCAGCTAGTTTGTTCTCTTCCATAGTAGGCTGTTGCTGATGGTATCTGGTCAACTGACACTGAGTATCTTGCGTAGACAATTTCTTAGAAATACTTGTACCTTTTTGACGATGATTGTAGTAGTTCTCCAAGTTTCAGCTCTGTACATTAGAACTATCTTGACTTTCGTATTGAAGATACTCACTTTGGTATTGGTTGACAGTTGTTTTGAGTTCCATGTGTTCTTTGACTGTAGGAATGCTGCCTTCGCATTGCCAATCCTTGCCTTTCAACTGCATTAGATCCTCCCCGTTCAACGATGATGCTTTTCCAGGTACGTGAAAGATTCCATATCTTCCAGAGTTTCTCCATCAAGTGTGGTTGGGTTGGTGTTCTCCGTATTGTATTTGAGGATCTTGCTTTGTCCCTTGTGTATGTTGAGGCCTACTGATAAAGAGGCTGCTGCTAAACTACTTGTCTTTACCTGCATTTGTTTGTGTGTATAGGATAGAAGAGCTAGATCATCTGCAAAGTGCAAATCGTCTAGTTGCACCAAAGCCGTCCATCGTATTCCGTGCTTACTCTCAGATGTGGAAGTCTTTATAGTCCAGTCAACCATTAGAATGAAAAGAAAAGGCGATAGTAAGCAGCCTTGTCTGGAATCGAACCTCACTCGGAATGCGTCTGTTAGCTGTTTTCTATGTACGACTTGGCAGTGTAGTCCATCGTACGAATTCCGTATGACGTTAACGATTTCCTTAGGTACATCATAGTGTAGAAGATCCCATAATGTTCTCGTATCCACTCTGTCAAGTACTTTCTCATAATCAAGGGAGTTGATGTATAGTGACGAGTTCCATTCAATTGATTTGGTCTATGCACAACCAACCCTTACGGAATCCAGCCTGTTGATCTCGAAGTTGGGCATCCACTGAGTCTTTCATCCGGTTTAGCAGTACTGTTGAAAACCTTTCTTGGTACTGATAGTAGCGTGATGCCTCTGTCGCTCAGTTCTCATATTTGTTCAGATCTCCTTTCTTTGGTATCATGATGAGGTATCCTTCTTTCCAATCAGTCGGCACTTGTTCTCCCTCCCAAATCTTCCTGAATGGGGTGTGAAGCATCTTTGCAGTTACCTCTATGTCTGATTTCAGTGCTTCAGCTGGTATGCTGTCAGGTCCTGTTACTTTCGCAGTCTTGATGTGTCTGATAGCTATCTTGATTCCTTCGATCGTTGATGTAGTGACATCTATAGGAAGGTCTGTGTGTGCTGCTTGATTGTCTAGTGGATTCAATGGAGCTGACCTATTCAAGAGTTTGTCAGTGTTCTTCCCATCTGTTCCTCTATTCTTGAATCCTAGTTACTGGCTTACCTTTTTTGTCCTTGACCGGTCTCTCTGGTTTACTATATTTCCCTGTAGTTTCTTCGTTGTCATATAGTTGTTTCATATTTCCTTTTCTTGTAGCTTTATCTGCTGTCGCTTTTTATTTATTTATTTTATTTGAACACATATATATTGGTACAAGAGGGCACCAAATATATATGCGCCACACTTTTGTGTGAGGGCTGTAATACTGCCCGGGTGCCCACACCGAAGCTGCTAAGAATGTATACAATCACACTATCAAAATGAACGCCAGACAGACGTACGATCTCTAACTACCAATCTTTGGTCAGTTATACTCAAAGAAAAGCCTTGTAAAAATATGCAATAATCTAGGTTGCTATTGTATCAATAGTTACTTACACAAATTGACATTGACTTCATGTGAAATATGAATAATATGGTCAAGCACATGGTAGGCTAGACTTCCTGTTTTTAATAGTTATTAGAATAAAAAAATTTTACCACATCAAATAACTTAATTTATGATTGGATACAAATTTATTTGATTTATTTTAAAGATATTTCATAAGACAGATATTTAACAGGTAATTGTTCAGTAACAAATTAAAAACTTGTACTGATGGTCTAGTTTCACTAATCAGGTAGAAATGCAAGAAAATTGAAATGAAATTGTGGTATGTAACCTCCTACAAAATCACATAAACACAAGTATCATATCTAAAAATTTACTTATAGGTATGATGACTGCAGGATAATTTCGATCAGGGGATTTGTGATTTTAAACACTACCCTAACACATAAAGCGATAGTGGGTTAGTTTGCAAACCACATTTTTTTCCGTTATTTTAGGTAAAAATCTGTAGACGCTTTGACAGATCATCAGACCCCTTACTAACTGGAAAAAGGTTTTCTTACATATACACGTAGCTCAAAATCGTTTGCAACAGTATAGATTCATCCATTCTGACTTCCATTAGATCCTAAATTTCTTATAATTTTTTTAACAATTTATATTTTCTTGAATGACATTTCCAATGAATAATTTTTCCTATTATGAATATTACTGTTACTACCTCTACTACAGCAGAATTTGCCATAAAAGTTTTATCTCGCTGTGTTAATGAGATGCAACAACTTGAACCTATGCACACACGTACCCGGTTCTACGCTGAGTTTGACTGATCGACTGACCATATATACACATCCATCATCAATAAAATCACTTACCCATAAAGTTGAGATAACCTTCGCCGCCTAAGGTGTGTGTTATAAAACGTATTAATTTGTGTAATGCAATACCACGGTCGATAATTAAATTTGGAGGGCTTAAGGTGCTCATACTGAAGTACATTTCTTTGTCCATAAGCCAAAAGGATAATGTCTTATCACCAACCAAAGCTTGATCATGGCATTCCGCGTATGCGATATTCGGTTCACCATAACGTCGATTAGTCAATGTATGGACAAGATTACTCATGTTCCAATCTTCATCTTTATATTTCTTTAGAAGCTAAATATGAAAATAAAAATCACTAAAGCTGGTTATTGATGATAAAACGAAGATTTCAAAAAAGTTAATTCAACTTATTATAGACTTACGTACTACTCATAGTTTGAGGACTAAAGATTTTCTCATGCGGTCTAAAACGTTAATAGGATGAAGTTCAAACTTGGAAGCTACTGTTTGGAAGTCGGCTACTGAAAATTTGAGCCACGACTCTGAACCTAAAACAAACGTCGCAGACGAATATCGATGTAGAAGAGTTATTTACTTAGGCTCTAATGAGTTTGTAAAGATCGAAATCATCAGAAATCACATTTTACTATATTGTAAATAACTGGTTTCCCAGAAGTGTCAAATAATTCCGCCAATTACACTGCTTACCATGAAAAGATGATACCATTTAGTATCGTAAAGTACAGTGTATGAAAAAGGAATGTGAACTAAATATACAATCAAATCACTGACTTAATTCAACAATTCCACAACCCTTACATAATGTGTCTAATATGACAATTTCATATATGTACAGACATGGATTAAAAGGGACTTATGACAGTGAGGTTAAAATTACATAAGTAAAATATCTAGTGAAATCTAAAGATAACTGGGAAGCAATAGCAGGGCACAATAGATTATTTGTAAAGGATTTACCTCAATCCATTTATCAGGAATAGCCATAGCTAATCGATAGTCGAATCCACCGCCACCTTCGGAAACTGGACGACACAGAGTAGGCATGCCGCTAACCTCCTTTCAAATGAAAAACAAATCAATTTTACATAATTATTAGATTAAATAAATAATATACGTATGTAATTATAAAACGATAGGACTTAGGTGGCAAATTAAATAAAACCTCAACTATTGATTGGAAAAGCTTTGTACAGGAAAATTTTAGTGAATCCCCTATTATTGAGTAGTAAGCTGTAATCCACCAAAATAACTGAAAGAAGTTATTGATCGAGATATCCATATAAGGTAAATATGAAAAGATGAATAATAAAAGTTAAGTATGAATTTCTTACTTCTGCAATCGTAATAATAAATGGATACTTTTCGTGTAGAAAATGGTTAGCTAACATTAAATAAGTAAATGATTCTGTGTCTACGGATAGACCAAAATATTCCCCATAATGACCGGAAAAGTTGGTCATCAAACCATGATGATGATACAGCATAGACATAACCCCATCAAAACGGAAACCATCAAAACCGTACTCTTCAATCCACCAACGTAAATTTGACATAAGGAAGCGTAGTACTTCTAACCTGTAAAAATTTAAAACGAATCAGTGAGTGCCTATTGGGTAACTTCGGAAAATGGAGAAAATTTCCTACACTCCAATCAGTAAATTGAATTTTTCAAACAAATCCTCGAAACTTACAACATTATTTATGTCACGAATGCGGCTAACGGAACAATTCAATGATTTTAAAAGAAAAACATTCTAATTTATTTTTACTGGTAATGGCTGATTTTGTCGTAGCTAAACAAATAATGTACGGAATGTGCATCAAAACCAATATGTAAGGGTGTTAAATGCTTCTACATTAAGCTACCGTACATTAAAGGGTAGTAAGTAACATGCAAGCAGAAAAGAGCTGTTATAAACTAATACCTCACAAGTTATCTAGTAACATGTACCCCAAAATGACCTGGTACGACCGAGAGTGGGGAGAGTCTGCTCTCCATCTCGAAATGCTTTCACATGGCCACGCGTATATAGCCTCTGCCAGGGAAGTCCTACTCACTGCCTTCTCGCGGCGGGCGTGTTGTTTACGGAATTGAGAGGACGAAAAGCGAATGTCCGACGCTTTAACCGGGTTGATGGGTACGGAGAGTTCTTCTAGGGGAGTTGGAAAATCCTGATTCGAAACCAATGATGCACATGGGCTCCAATATCCTGAGGGAACAAATGGCGTATGAACTAATTATTGGTCACCGGCTGCCATGGGACTGCATCTCCTTACGATGCTCCACTGCCTTGTGGATCAGACCTTTAGGTCGAATGCTCCAGGTGTGGCCTCCTAAGAAAACCACCTGTTTCGGTTTGGGTACCCGGGCAGTGTCACAGCCCTCACACATATTAAATGAGATTTGTGTAGCGTATATGTATTTGGTGCCTCTTTGTACCAATATCTATGTGTTAAAATAAATAAATAAATAACATGTGTTAGATGTTTTTAAGAAACATCTAATACAGAAACAGACGTCGTACAGATAAAATTTTGTTCGACAACTAAATCAATGACAAGTAACAACAATAAACATGACTATCAAATACTCAAAACTGAATCTTATAAATAAAATTTCAAATGATCAAAATATGCACAAAAACAAAAGACATAAAAACATTACTCTGTATAATTGAATAGACGAGAATCCCATAATTCATGAGTTCCACGGCCTAGATCATGGAAGTAACAAGCATTTGTGCCATCAAACTGGTTGAGGCCATCATTTGTATTCTTAGAGGCATGACTATGAACAACATCTAGAAGAACTACAATGCCCAGTCGGTGTGCTTCATCAACCATGGCGCGTAGCTCCTCTGGAGTGCCAAAGCGACTAAAAAATTAGGGATGGAAATAATTAATCGGGAGAAGTTAACGAAGTGTAACACGAATTCCACACAAATAAAACGTGATTTATACAATTAATTTTCCATAAGTACTGAAGTGTTTGGAACGATTAAGCTTTATAAATAATATGAATATAGTTTATAAATCGAGAACTATAGCGCTTGAACAAACCAGTACAATGCACAAGAAATCGACCAAAAGGAACTATGTAATAACAGTGGAGTTTGTTCAACGTATTTGCGTCTTTCCGACAGCTGCAAGAGTAGTTCTAAAAAATGATGTCAGTGGGGTGCACTCTATTACGTGGAGGCAAAACGCAGGACGAAGTTGAAAAATTGTGAGTAAAACTATGTAGTTATTCTTTTTTTAATATCATTAAAAGACATTTAAGAGCAGTACTATGCATGATTTTTATATGAATGTATACCTACCAGGCAAATTAAAGTTATCACTTTCGAGTATCAAATGACTGTTTCGATAGGAGATCTATACTTCACTTAACATAGAAATACTGAAACCGCTTACTAGCGTTCGATGTGCGTAGTCATTTTGGCTACTATTTAGAGCATTAAAATCTAGCTGTTATAATAATTCCAGTCATTTAGTCATAATTTTATTGACACAAAAAAGTAACATATAGGTTCTCAAGAAATTGATCAAAAATGAAAAGTTAAAAAGGTCAGTTTCATATATACGACAAAAAAATTGGATGTGAAATGCATGCTATTATTTTAGTGACATTTTAATACAGTTAATACGAAAATAGGTCATATTCGCTTAGATAAAATGAGCATTTACTTATCAGCTTTAGTTTGACTTCCCTTTAATTCTAGATTAACATGCAAAGTAATGACCATAATATGGCAAAACTTCGTATTAAGGTGGATTCATTTTAGAGAATGAAGTATTTTCAGACATAGATTTTAGGAATATACTGGGTTGAAAGCTTCTATATGTTTGGTAACATAATATATAACCTTAATACGGCAGCGTATTCCTATGTTTCTGACTTGCCACCGAATGCAGTATGGCTAGGGATGGAGAGTCCCATCTACTTCTTGAAATGTTCTCGTACGTACACATGTTTATAGCCTTTGCTAGAAAAGTTCTATTTACTGTCTTTATGCGGCAAATGAATTTTTATGATAATGAGAAAACTGATGTTCTGCGCTTGAACTAATTTATTGAATACAGAGGATTTACCTAGAGGAGCTAGAAAATCCTTCGTGTCGATGAGCTCTAATTTATCTAGTGGCGTATGAACCTATTTCGGTCACCGCTCCTTCGGGACATTTCCTGACACCTTTCTGTCGCCTTGTGGACTAGATCTAAGACAGGAGGCTCGGAGAATGACTCCCCAAGAGTACTCCGCGCTTCGTAATGGGCTTTAGTTCGAACACAAATACAAGTATGAATAATTATGAAGAAAATACTATTTTTTGAAATATTAGGATATCACTGTAACCACAAGCTTGGAATTAAATACACTTCGATTGCTTTATGAATTATGAAAGTCAATTACAGACTGCAATGGTCACTTGTATAGTTAAAATAGGTGATCTGCTAAAACACTCAGTAGTAGTGCCAAGTGCTCGATGGAGATTGATCAGATACATAACTATACACAATCGTGATAGTTCCCTGTACCGTCCCACTTATTCTCGAATAAGTTTCCAGACGTTTACCATGTATTGCATACATCCTCAATTTATTACGGTTAACGAATATATTTAGGAAGCAAGACACTAAATACAGCAGTACAAATTAAAACGCATGACCTGAGAATAATAATGTAATTGCAGTGACGTTGGTTCGATTAAGGTATTATTCCGTAAAAATTATAATAATGACGTAGGCGTTATAACCTGATAATGCATCAATTTCTTTTATCACAACATATTTTACCATACATGTTCCTAACTATTGAAACAAAGTATAATCAAATGAATTAGGTTGGTCTAAACATTAGGCGTTGAGGACACTATCCAGATGCAAAAGTGATTAAGATACATGAGAAATACATGAAGTATGAAGACTTTAGATTAATGGAATATTAAAACGGAAGTACCATGTAATAATAGTGAACAATGTAAAATGGAATATAACCAAAAAAGTCCAGACAACAAACAATATATTAGGTAGAGATAACTCTTGATAATAGACGTTTGCAAAATGTAGTTTGAGTAAGTAATCTTGAAGCTTCATATGTCTATTGACATGATAATGTAATTAAAACAAAATGACTAAATTCAAGTTAAAAGCTCTACTTTCTTGAGTTAACTAGTGAATTACGATGAAACAATTCTCAGTTAATTAATCATAAACAATGTAAGACTTGGTTGGATTGAATGTTAAAAAGTACTACTATTTTAAATGCTAATAAGTCTTAAAACCATATAACCCCACTACCAGGAAAGTCCTATTCACTGCCTTCTCGCAGTGGGGGCGTTGTTTACGAATTTGAGAAGACGAAGATTAAAGGTCCTGCGCTTTGACCGGGTTGGTGGGTACAGAGGATCTACCTAGGGGAGTCGAGAAACCCTGATTCCAAACCAATGGCGAACATGAACTCAAGGTTCCTAAGGAAGCAAATGGTGTATGAACGTGTTGTTGGTCATCGGCTTTATGGAATTGCATCTCCTTAAGTTATGCCACTGCCTTGTCGATTAGACTTTGAAGTGAAAGGCTCCGAGTGCTGTCCCATATGAAAACCACTTGCTTCGGTTTGGGCACCCGGGCAGTATCTCAGCCTTCACATAAATCGTTCGATTTGTGTGGCGCACATCTACTTGGTGCCTTCTTGTACCGATGTGTGTTTAAGAAATAAACAACCCCAGTAAAAGCAGTTTTTAGTTAAAGAGTCCATCCGAATGACCTTCAGTCCATGTATAGTAACCCAAATGTGTCTTAAAAAATAGTCGAGGAAAATTAACCCACAAGTAGAAATTGCGAACGTACGCTTATTACTCACTGACCCAGTAAGTAAATTACATCTGTTCGGAAGAAAAGTTGAGAAAAAAACTTCTATCAAATGTGTGAATGGAAGCTTGGGAATATATCATGTTTAGATTGTCAAATTATTTGTACAAAAGAGAGTTATCAAGAATATCTATGAAAAACAAAGCACTTGATTTTCCTTGTTGCATCAGACATTTACGTTATAATTACTAGCTCTAGTAGGCTAACTGCCAGCAAGAACCCATAATTCGAGGACAGATTCATTTAGAAATTGAGAGAAAATACCGTACAGAGTATCGCACAACATATACAATACTGATTAATAAAACTAAAACCATGATAAAAACTGGACCAGTGACTGCGAGAATCATGACGATATGCGAAATGGACAACCTTTCAGTAATAATTAAACCAAATGTTACCAAACCAGATATAAAATTTAAGATATTTGACGATAACCACATAATTTACCTTGAGGCAGCAAAGAAGCTAGTCACCTGGTATCCGAACGAAGCATAATAAGCATGTTCCATTAGCGCCATTATCTGAATCGCATTATAACCTACAGGAAAACCAATATTTTAAATCTTTCAGACAATTATGCACATACATGGTTACCTAAGTATCATGTCTCCAAAAATAACAGATATACTGTGGGAACTACATTCTAAGTATTTACGGGAAAATGAACTGGTGACTTCATTACTATTGAAGCAGATAAAATACTTACATAAAGAGAGGAATGATGTATTTATTAATCTATAGATAAACGACTTACACATACGAATGCATATGTCTACGGATCGGAATATAGACAAAAGATGAGTACGAACGGTACAATGACTGATTCTCGAAGCCGATGGGATGTTTTACCTTAAGATTAGTTAATGTTGGAATAAATCTGTCACGACAGTCAACCAACTATTAGGTTTTTTGCTGCCCATCAAACATGCATATTTTCCGAAAGTTTGGTGACTGTAAAGATTAACAATCAAGTATTGAATTCACGTTAAAAGCAACTGGGAGCTTAGTAGATTTATAGTAAAGCTGTTGGCTAAAATATGCATAAGTGAATCGGTCATGAAACAACTGCGAATTAATCATACCTAGGTCTTTAATTCGAGGCAGGATATTGTCCTTGAAATGAGAATAAGATGCGACAACCGGTTCAGATGACGAAATGCCAATGTGACACTCGTAAATTCGAAGACTTTTAGGCCGTGGAGGATGTGGATATTTAAGTTGGTATCTCTATTAATAAAGTTTTACAGAATATAAACAACCTCAGAAGGATTGTACAATAATTGGTCATAAATGATATTCCCTTCAAAGCATTTAACATACGGAGCCCATGGACTCAATCTATCCAGTCGGCGACCATCATGAGCGACCACCAAAAGCTACACGATAAGAAAAGCAATAAGTGATTTATACCTTGATTTTCGAAAGATGCTTTATCACAGGTGAACCATTAGCAGATGGTATCGTTAACTCCCATTTCCCGAAACCCACATTTTTGAAAGGATGAGTAAATTCCTGCCAATCATCTAAAAGCTAAGACAAAAATTTATAACTCACTAAAATCTCCTCTTAAATACAATTCTTTCGCCCCTGGAGCCCATTCTTTGCAGTATATTGATCCGTCATCACGTACATGAACCCCGAATTCCTTGTAACCCTGAGTAAATTCTTCCAAACCAGAAACATCATTTATCCACTTCATATGGTCTAAAAAGCATTTATATCTAAAACGAACATAGCGAAATTAAACAACACTTACCTGCGTTTGATCTCATGTTTGAAAGGTTCTAACCAGGGATCTAACTGTAACAGATTCTGTATATTTGGTACATTGACAGCCTCAATTTCTTCTGGTGTGTAAAACATTCTCGAAAATTGCAAGTTAGCAAACTACCACTTCATATATACCGCTTTCACAGTGTAGACAGAACTAACGCCGACTAGTGTCCAATACGTACAGTTTCCATTATTTCAGTAATAAAACAACATATATGAGACAAATTTTTAATTCAATCATGGAATGAGATTGATAATTGTCCATATATGTCTCCTGTTCTATCACTTCGTTGTGAACACGCGTGGAACCTCTCCATGGTCATCACCAGTCTAAAAACCCAGGTAAAACATAAGGGTTGGGTATAGATAGATCAAACCTACCTCGCAAAAAAGTAATCGTTTATGATATTTCTGGCCAAGAAGTAAGTTAAGTCTGTAAACTCTGATCAGAGAATTAAATAATCTTCAGATGGAATTGTTATTAAGTTATATGGTGAAAGATCAGACTCCCAAAAGCCACAAGGCCAAAAAAAAGTTCTGATTGACTGTTAAAAGCAATTCTCAAGACGAAGGTGAAATACGAATAAATTATGAAAGTTATAATTAGTTAAAGACTTATACTTCATAATCCATGAACATAATGAGTGAAACCATGTAACCAGTCATGTAGATAACGTCACAGTGAACATGTTGGATAGTGTTGCGTGGTATTTGTATTAAATAATAATTTGTACTTAATCTCCATTATATCTCCCATAACTTATAATAAGTGCATCAGGAAGATTTTAGAAAACTATAACATGTATTCCCAGTTTAGCTAGTGATGAGACAAATTGGATTAGAAGGTCTAATGAATGTCGTTTGTAGCAGTAAATAATGCCCCAAAGCAAATAGTCCCGTGAGTCGTCGACATTGATGCTGATATCTCTAGTTTTACTGAACAAAACAAGCTGAAGGCGCTCGGCCACGCATCGGTATCGAATCATCAATGTTATTATTATTATTATTGTGTACGCCGTACGACAAATCCCTTGCAACTGTTAGTCAGCTTATGTCAAATGCTTCTCGATATATCGATGACCTTTCAAATATATCCCCAAACCACTTTATTTCTGACTTCTGATTTGACTGGAGTGGGCATACTTTGATTCTAAGTGTTACATGTAAAAGCACTATCAAACTCCGAATACCTGTAACATCTTTAAATCAATGTCATTCAAGCTATTATAGTTTTTCATGCGTAACTGTAAAGATAAACTTAAACACTTGTTTGATCAACCTTAACACCGTCATAATTTTGTGTAGCATGGATAGATTGCTAAAAATTTCAGCTTTCGCTTAACAGGCTTCCGTGTCTAGTAGCAGGGGATCACCAAAGCCTCCAGGCAGGAACCTAGGTATGTTAACAATAAAAGATGAAACAAAATTGGTAAATCATAGTGTGATATGGTCCTTGGTCCTTAAGAATAGGTCAAGTTGCCTCTTGAAGGACTCTTGAGAAGTCGATTGGACTAGCACGGCCGGCAGCGAATTCCAGCATTTGACAACTCTTAAGGAGTAGAAATTGTGTCTACATTTCATCTTGCTATGTTGAGTTTCCAGCTTCTGGGTGTTACCCCTTAGGTTATTATTCGAACTAAGCTTAAGTAGGTGTTTAAGAGGATGTCCAGAAGTGTTAAGAATACTATAAGCCATTAATAAATCACCTCTAAGACGCCTATACTCTAATGGATAAAGGTCTAGTGAATGGAAGCGATCGTCGCAAGGCTTAGATTTGAGTCCTCGAACTGATTTCGTGGCTCGCCTTTGGATACGCTCCAAAGTTACTTTGTCCTTTTGGAGTGTTTCCGTACTCTAAATGGGGACGGATAAAACTATTGAAGATTGTATGGAAAGTTCTTCCGTCAAACTGGCCAAAAATGTGCTTCAATGTTACCAGTGCAAGGTTTGCTCGGAAGGCATTTTTGTCACAGTTAGCGTAAGACTTTAAATCATGGGGCACAAGGACTTCTAAATCTTTTTCGACTTGGGATACTATTAGAGAGGAGTTTCCTAAGTTGTAACTGTAGTTTGCAACATGTCGCAGATGAACTACTTTACACTTTGAAGTGTTAAAGGTAAGTCCGTTATCGTCTGCCCAACTTTGAAGTCGAGTCAGATCCTCCTGAAGTGCCTGTGTATCGTCTTGGTTGCTTAACTCTCTCCAAAGTTTCATGTCGTCGGCAAAAAGTAATAAGTCTGACGTAACATGTTGAGGAAGATCATTTATGTAGATCCGGAAGAGAAGAGGCCTAGGGGGACTCCACTAGGACATTCCATCGCCTGAGATAAGGTGAAATTAACCCTAACCTTAAAGTGTCGATTTTCTAGGTATGAAGTAAGACAATCGCTTAGAGGTGGTTTGATACATAGTGGTTTGAGCTTACTGGTAAGACACAAGTTGTTAAATTTATCAAAAGCTTTTGAGAAGTCAAGGTAAATGATATCAAACTTCCCCTTGCGATCGAGGATGGTGTCCACCGCAGTCAGCAGGTTGGTTATACAAGAGTAACCCTTCCTGAAACCATGCTGTTGGGGTGAGAAGAAATTTAAGGACAGTAGATAGTCGTTTAAAACATCGCGTATCAGGGACTCCTTGAGTTTTGAAGGTAATGACAGAAGAGCCACCGGCCGATAACTTGAAGGTTCATTGAGTTGACCCCCTTTGAAAATTGGTGTGATGTGGGCCAACATCCAATTTTCCGGTAGTTTGCCTCGGCTTAGCGAGTGTGAAAACATCACGCTAAGCGGCGTTGCCAGGATTGAGGCTGCCTCCCTCAGTATGGCAGAATGAACCATATCCGGGTCAGGAGAAGTATCTAGTCTTAAGTGCTGCAGTTTCCGGAACACCAAGTCAGCGCTTAGGTCCACTTCGGAAAGTCCTGTGGAATTGCAGATGAAACTGTCGTCAATAAAGTTGATGTCAGCCAGCTGAAATGTTTGAGAGTAATGTGCCGCCAGAAGGTTAGCGGCGTCACTATCGTTGTTGGTCGGGCCGTTAAGACCTAGCAGTTGCGAAACTCCTGTTTTAGCTTGACGAAGAGAGGCTGCATAACGGAATAGGCTTTCAGGTTAGAGGCAAATTTGTCCATAAGCTTTGTCTGATACTGAAGCCTGTCTTCTCTTATAGCCTTCGTGCATATGTTCCTGATATGTTTATATTGCCTATACGCTCCGTCGTTATTAGTTTGTTTGTATTCCGCCCAACAGTGCCTTTGCGGCTTAGCAATCGAAGGGTACGGTTCTTGATTACTGTAGGTGGCTTGCAGCTTTTGGGAACCGTTTGAGGAACTGAATGGTTTGTAGCACATAAGAGCATGTGCAGTAAGAAGTTCCAATGACCGTCCACATCGAGTTGAGTGTGAACATCCCAAACCACCTGTTGTAGATAGTCATGTAGAGCTGGCACATTCAGCCGTATAAAATTCCAACGCAAATTATTGTTGGGATACCTTAGCTTAGTTTTGATGACAAAACTGAAGGCTATGACGGCATGATCGCTCTTTCCCAGAAGAGCCAGGATTGAGAGGTTGTCAACTAGGAATTCTTCGTTTGTGAATACACAGTCTAACCTCGATGGTGTTTGACTGTTTCTCCAACGAGTTGCCGACCTCACATTTTCATATAAGCCCAAGTCATCGATGAGGTTGAAGAACCGAGCTTCGATTGAGTTGTCGCCTCTAGTGTACGTGTGTTCCGCGAAGTTGACTCTAGGCAGATTAAAGTCCCCTAGAATCAGGATATGTGTGAAACCGAGACGGGTATAGCGGGATAGTCCTTCCAGCATACGACTATCGTACTCGATGTCGGCAGTTGGCTTCCTGTAAATGACATCAACTAGACACCTCGAAGTACTAGACAATCTTACAGAGCACCATATGGATTCTTCTAGATTGTTAAACTCGAGGTTGTGAACTTGGTGCACCTCCAAGCAAGAGCTTATGTATATGGCTACTCCGCCCCCAGTTCCTGTTATTCTGTCGTTGCGGAACAAAGTCATCCCACGTAATGCTAACTCTTGTTCCGAGAAATGAGAAGATATCCAGGTTTCAGATATTCCTATCAGGTGGGCCTTATTAGCGTTGCTAAGTTCACGTAATTCATCCAGTTTGTTTGGTAGACTCGAGGAGTTCATATATAAGCAGTTTATGCTTTCCAATTGGAACGCGTGAGCTTCGTCCTGTTTTTCTGTATGAGCCTTATGTGAATGGCCAGGTAGCCCACCTATGTGAGGTTTACCGAGGTGGTAGGCCCTGTCTTTTACACGTTTTTTTTATCATTTAGACAGTTCACAAGTGGAATGGTCAGCTCAAACTTGCCTTTGTGCTTGGTCCTGGCTTCATATGGCCTATCCGGGTGCATGTGGATTCCAGGTGGCAATCGACGTCTGTTGGCACGAAATGCTTCCAGAACTGCAGTCGCCATGTGGGAAGATGGGAAGGTTATCTTCATTAGACGGGGTCTAAGATCACCGTCCTTCTTGGCTAATCTCGTCACATGCTGAGTCAGTATGTGTTTGAACCTCAAGGACTGTTTGATGAATTTCCATTCCCTGATGTCAGAATTTGATTGAGTAGGGTCTGAATTTTCCGGTATACCTTGCACAATTATGTTTCTTCCGCGGAAAAACTTCTCGCGAGATTCTTTAGGGATGTTTCGTATGATATTGCGCTCAGAGTACGGTATGTCGAGCAATATTCTTACGTTACCATCTGATTTCAGCAAGTGACTTGCTATTAAGACGTCCTCTACGTCGGTAGCATTCTTAAGTGTTACTCGGAGAAGCCTTGGGTGATTTATATGATTAGAGTCCTTTCCTCGAGTGAGCCGGGTGACCATCAAAGGCTCTATTCTAGGAAGTTCGAGCTTTTTGTTCAATTCACCCCAGAGCATCCTGTCGTTTTTGTCCTGCAGACTGAGAGGAAGGTCAGGATTCGCAACGAGGTTCATGATAATGAGAGAATCGTCACGAACTGTTGGTAATTTACCAGGTTTCACGGTGGGTTCATGTTTAATAACTTGCTGTTTGGAGGGCAGTGTGCGTTCTTGAGGCTTGGGCTCTTTATTGACCGGACGAACAATCTTGGTAGTAGACTGTGCGACCAAATCACCAGTT